GTTGTCAAAATCCTTCGTCCGTTGCATCATATTTTTTCAACACAATTTTGTAAAGATAGTTTTTATGAGTGATTGTAAAGTACTTATTTTTTCATCTGATTTCTTTCATCTTATCAGGTAAATCTTATCTTATTGGGTGTGTGAGCGGGCGGGTCTCTCTCACGTGTGAAGCAACAAAATGAAAATAATAATAATAATAATAATAATAGAAACAGTGTAACGGACGCTTACTATTCCGGTAATTAAACAGGAGAACTTTTACACTGGGGTGAGGTGAGGGGTTGGGGGGGGGTGATGTGGGGAGGGAGCTAGGGATGGGATGAAGAGGAGAGAAGGAGGGAGGAGAGGAGGGTGGGGGTATCATAAAACACTCACAATAGGTCAAGTTAGTCTACTGATAGTAAACTGTCCACCAAAATAAACGAACATCGTACGTACGTGTGTGTGTGTGTGTGTGTGTGTGTGTGTGTGTGTGTGTGTGTGTGTGTTTGTCAACAAACAAAAGCAGGTGTAATTTCACAGTCGACAAAGTCACTACGACCCAATGTATCTCAGGACAAGTTGGAGCTGTGAATGAGCCACACTTAACACCGAGTGTGGTCAGCAGACGAGGTCAGCTAACGTGTAAAGTGGTCAGCAGACGAGGTCAGCTGACGTGTAAAGTGGTCAGCAGACGAGGTCAGCTAACGTGTAAAGTGGCCAGCAGACGAGGTCCAGCCTGACGTATAAAGTGGTCAGCAGGCGAGGTCAGCTAACGTAAATGCCAGCAGACGAGGTGGTAAAGTGGTCAGCAGGCGAGGTCAGCTAACGTAAAGGTCGGTCAGCTAACGTGTGGTCAGCAGACGAGGTCAGCTAACGTGTAAAGTGGTCAGCAGGCGAGGTTAGCTAACGTGTAAAGTGGACATCGGACGAGGTCAGCTAACGTGTAAAGTGGTCAGCAGACGAGGTCAGCTAACGTGTAAAGTGGTCAGCAGGCGAGGTCAGCTAACGTGTAAAGTGGACATCGGACGAGGTCAGCGAACGTGTAAAGTGGTCAGCAGACGAGGTCAGCTGACGTGTAAAGTGGTCAGCAGGCGAGGTCAGCTGACGTGTAAAGTGGTCAGCAGGCGAGGTCAGCTGACGTGTAAAGTGGTCAGCAGGCGAGGTCAGCTGACGTGTAAAGTGGTCAGCAGGCGAGGTCAGCTGACGTGTAAAGTGGTCAGCAGACGAGGTCAGCTGACGTTTAAAGTGGTCAGCAGACGAGGTCAGCTGACGTGTAAAGTGGTCAGCAGACGAGGTCAGCTGACGTGTAAAGTGATCAGCAGACGCGGTCAACTAATTTGTAAAATGGTCAGCAGACGAGGTCAGCTAACGTGTAGAGTGGTCAGCAGACGAGGTCAGCTAACGTGTAAAGTGGTCAGCAGACGAGGTCAGCTAACGTGTAAAGTGTAGCAAGAATTAAAACAACAACAGCAGCAATACAATAGTTGTTCCGGCCTGAATACTGGAACAGCTAAAAATTATTGTGTAATTATGTTGACAATGTGAGCCATACTGTACTACTGGTGCTAGCTGCTGGTGATAGTAGTGGTGGTGGCGACAATAGTGGTAGTACTGATGATGATGGCAGTGTTGATGGTGGTGATAATGGTGAACAATAGTGGTAGTACTGATGATGATGGTAGTGTTGATGGTGGTAATAATGGTGAACAATAGTGGTAGTACTGATGATGATGGTAGTGTTGATGGTGGTGATAATGGTGAACAATAGTGGTAGTACTGATGATGATGGTAGTGTTGATGGTGGTGATAATGGTGAACAATAGTGGTAGTACTGATGATGATGGTAGTGTTGATGGTGGTGATAATGGTGAACAATAGTGGTAGTACTGATGATGATGGTAGTGTTGATGGTGGTGATAATGGTGAACAATAGTGGTAGTACTGATGATGATGGTAGTGTTGATGGTGGTGATAATGGTGAACAATAGTGGTAGTACTGATGATGATGGTAGTGTTGATGGTGGTGATAATGGTGAACAATAGTGGTAGTACTGATGATGATGGTAGTGTTGATGGTGGTGATAATGGTGAACAATAGTGGTAGTACTGATGATGATGGTAGTGTTGATGGTGGTGATAATGGTGAACAATAGTGGTAGTACTGATGATGATGGTAGTGTTGATGGTGGTGATAATGGTGAACAATAGTGGTAGTACTGATGATGATGGTAGTGTTGATGGTGGTGATAATGGTGAACAATAGTGGTAGTACTGATGATGATGGTAGTGTTGATGGTGGTGATAATGGTGAACAATAGTGGTAGTACTGATGATGATGGTAGTGTTGATGGTGGTGATAATGGTGAACAATAGTGGTAGTACTGATGATGATGGTAGTGTTAGTGGTGGTTATAGTGGTGGTGATAATGGTGGTAGTAATAATAGTGGTTGTGGTGAGATGAGGGGGGAAAATCCAGAGTTCACACACTCTCCTCTCCCTCACTATTCTCTAGCGTAAAGAAAAAAAAAATATCCTTGGTATTTTTTAAATGAAATTCTGACACTACATCACCTAAAACGCGCGTCTAGAGGCATTTTCTCGCTCTACACACCCTTAGTTAGCTCATATTTTATAAGTTTTAGATGCAATAAAATAAATCTTGGGTAGCCGCTCCCCCACGGTGCTGGCCTGACAGTAGCAGCTTCCCAACGCTCCCTCTTATACTGCTGCATGTTAAGCAATATTATAGAAAAACACCATTGCTGACATCTCTATTTTATATTCGCAATGAAACAAAGCACACACACACACACACACACACACACACACACACACACACACACACACACACACACACACACACACACACACACACACACACACACACACACACACAAACACACACACACACACACACACACACACACACACACACACACACACACACACACACACACACACACACACACACACACACACACGTACTCAGGGTTAAATTCTTGTACTCAATTGGATTAAGAGACAGTACTAATGACCCACTCACCCCTTCCTCCCCCCGCAAAAACAAAAACAAAAAACAATTTCAATTTAATTTTTTTTCGCATGGTCGTCCGCCAATTGGTTAAATCCGTTAAAATATGGTTCATTAAACTGAGTAATTCGCATAAAAGTAGTATCGAATGTTAAAATGCACTGTGGATTTTTGCTTTGGTCTCTACACACACACATACACACAAACACACACACACACAAAACACACACACACACACACACACACACACACACACACACACACACACACACACACACACACACACACACAGTACAAATAAATTAACTGTTTATATATCAGAATAAAACACACAGCCGCTTATAACCAGTACAGCAGCGTGAAGTATTTAGGGCCAATCTGTACGGTGAATTATGACAGTTTTAGAAGTTAGGATAGACAAGGGCGATGTAATTTTCCATAGGTTAATTGTATTCGTTGACCATCCTATGTTTAAAACTTCCAAATCGATCAATGGGAGAGAGAGAGAGAGAGAGAGAGAGAGAGAGAGAGAGAGAGAGAGAGAGAGAGAGAGAGAGAGAGAGAGAGAGAGAGAGAGAGAGAGAGAGAGAGAGAGAGAGTCCATAAGCCCCTTCTAGTCCTCAGCCCCCAATACAGCAACACAGAATGGGACTAATTGACTATTATACTGGGTGTGAAGCGAGTGAGGATACGGGTAGCTGAACTGGAGTCTTACCGTCCATAGCACCGGAGTGACAGACAGACAGGGTGATGAGAGAACAAGACAGAATACAGAACAGAAAAAGGAAAATATTGGAGTCAAAGTAAATGGACCGGAGTGATCCATTTACCACTCGAAGATTAAACGCCTGAGCACACGAGCTTCAGTAGCCAATTAGATATCTGTTACTACTGATCCGTGACATTACTCAGTCCTCCAGATGCTGTGAATTATGTTTCCTAATTACCTACACTACTGCAATAAACTTAAAACTTTTAGAAATATTTGGAATTCTCTTCGGAAATTCTCATCACACGAGGGAATTTCGAATTTCATGAAAGACGTATTTGTAATTACAGCAGCGGGCGGCGGCGTCGTATGAAATAAAAACACTCGTATTTTTCCACAGTTACTGAGAGCCAGAGAGCCTTTTATGGCTTAAGTTGTCAACTTTTAATTTTAATTCAGCTCAAAGTGTTGGGAGGTACTTTTTAATGTGGCAATAAGTTATAGTTTCAAGTTAACTTCTTCACACCATTATCGCTATTTTTTATTATATATTATAGAGGCGAGTATTAAGCAACAAGAACAACACTGGGTGCTGAACGCAAGCCACTTACCGTGTACGGGAAGACACGCCCAACCTTACCACCAAATGAAGCTTTGCGTCTCACTGAGCTGCTCGTTTAGCTTAGTAATTTTGCATTTTGTTGTTCACGTGTTCGTTCAGCGTCGATACAGAGTTCACATTTCTACAGCTAACACATCTACCACTAACACATCTACCACTAGCACATCTACCACTAACACATCTACCACTAACACATCTACCACTAACACATCTACCACTAACACATCTACCACTAACACATCTACCACTAACACATCTACCACTAACAAAGAACAAAAAATATTGCCCACTATTCAAAAATGAATCTTTAAAAAACTGACTCGGTTTTCATGGTTAATTTAAAACGAAACAAAACACCACGTACTAAAACATAACAGACAATATCACACATCTACCATATGATAAAAGCCAATAGGTCAACTACTTAGCGTTATCATGCGTAAATTACAACTACCATTATATATAAATACTATCACGAATTACTACAACTTCCCTTACAAACAACAACACGGCATTATGTAACGTTATATCACACACACAAAGCATCGCACAAGATTATTTTAAGACACGTAAAGGAACCCTGGCGGGGGGGCTCCTGGACGAAGAGTATATAATAATGTCTAGACACACGAAGAGACAGTATAGTGATCCTTACCCACGACGTTGAGGAAGGCCAACAGCTCGCAGAAGAAGTATCTGTAGGCCCACCAGTTGTGATGCTTGAGGTTGTCGGCGAGGTAGTCCAGTAGCAGCTTCTTCTTCTGTTTCTTCTCCACTTCGGAACAGATACCCACGTCCAAATCCATCATTAAGGCATGGATTTTGCCACCTTCCCAATTTTTCCACATCCACCTCGGCGCATAGAAGCAGATTGCCTGGAAAATTAAGGGCAGGGACGTCATGCCAGACTGCGCAGAGAAATGAAGTAAGAGGAGAAAAGGAGCTGTAGAAGGAGGAGATAAAAAAGAAGAGGGAACAGACAGAAAGGTACAAGAGGTTAAAAAAAGAAAAAGAAAAAAGAAGATGAGAAAACGCTTGGCTCAGCTTGTCCTGTATATCAGAGCAGGATATCAGGTATAGAAGAAGCACATCATACAACTGATACAAATATTATAGAACATGAGAAGGTATCAGCAAAAAATGGGGTTAAAACACAAAAAAAAGTCATGAAGAATGTATAACAAGCATAGAGGCCCACGGCACTCTGTAGGATCAGGGTTTAATTTCCCACACAAAACGTTATCAATGTTCCACTCCTACAGAGAACCTCATCTACAGGATATTAGGATAATGGTGGTGAGACTAAATGAGGAGGAGGAGGAGGAGGAGGAGGAGGAGGAGCTCGAGCATGAATAAGAGGCTGTTGCTACATTCTCCTGCAAGACGTCGCCCAGGCTTTAGGATCCTTCAAGACCGTCTATAGGAGTCCTACTCATGGATAAGGACACTAGGGATTCCTCTGGGGACTCTATGTACTCACTCTCATGCGTAGGCGACACTCAGTGGGACGGAATGGAATCTCTTCATAACAAGACTCACTAATATGGTCAGGGTACACTACAGATCAGGGCACACTAGAGGTCAGGGTACACTACAAGTCAGGGTACACTACAGGTCAGGGTACACTACAGGTCTGTGATACTACAGGTCATGGTACACTACAGGTCAGGGTACACTACAGGTCAGGGTACACTATAGGTCAGGGTACACTACAGGTCAGTGATACTACAGGTCATGGTACACTACAGGTTATGGTACACACTTCAGGTCAGGGTACACACTACAGGTCAGGGTACACTATAGGTCAGATATTAATATGTCAATGAATAGTAGAGGCCATGATTTAGTATAGGTCACGGTACAGTGACCCCCTAGGTACAGATAGGTCACGGTACAGTAGGCCCCAAGATACAGATAAGTCACGGTGCAGTATAGGCCAAGATAGAGAACACGTCAGGGTACAGAGTAGGTAAGGGTACAGTCAGGGTACACGTCAGAACTAGGTACATTGTAACCGGTTTATCGTAGCCATAATGACCGACCGGTAGATGATTGTGAACACTAACGGGGCAGTTAACACCAACAGCTAACAACAGGGTCGGGTACACAACAGGACAGAGTGGGGGAAGACTACACAGCGAGTAACAGTCGGGATTAATTTGTAGAAGAACCATAATTTCGCATTGATTAATAATTAAATAAATCACACAAGAACAGAAAAAAACACAATCGAGACTTTGAATCAAGATCTGATTATTATACTGTGTAAAGTGCAATAAAAAAGATGCCCTGAAATAGTTTTTAAAATATCTACCTTCGTTTTAGTTTAGTTTCTACAGTGACCATCACCAGACTCACAGCGAAATCCCTCATAAACTTCTAGGAACACGAAGCGAAGGGAGTGACCTATATTGTTGGTGTTAGTTCTATTATAATTAACAAAATCAAATCCGTATTGGTTGCTTATGAGTTGAAAACCTTTACTTTTGAACGTAAGACCAAGGGCTTTTACTAACACGAATTGGTAGAAAGATTTAGAGCATATAGTGGTATTTTAGTACGCGTAAGTATTCGAATCTTCTCAAAATGGAATCTTAATTGTGGAATGTCAACTCTACCACACATCCACACATTCCTATGAAATACAATAACTAACAACCATGTGGGATTGATCACCACCCTGGACAATGAGACTCTTGGAAGTGCAATATTCTTAAATCACGTTCAGGCCAATGAATTGGATAATTACCGTACATAGAAGAACGTGTAGTAAATGAAGAAGTTCAGGTAGTGTTTGATAACTGCGACGTCAATTAATACCTTGTACACGTGACACAAGGCTCAATACAAAGTCTGTTGTGGCTCACCTCATCATGAAGGTACAGTCGCCTGCACTTTGACGTGGTACAGTGTCTAGCGCGCTTTGTGAGATGTGGCAAGTCTGAATTTGTTTACATCGTATTAAAACTCCCAAAACGGCCGTAAGGAACCTCGCAATAGAAGATAAACATTCCACAGGTGCCACATCTCACAAAACACGCTAGACACTGTACCACGTCAAAGTGCAGGCGACTGTACCTTCATGATGAGGTGAGCCACAACAGACATGAGCAAGAGATGCACGATAGGGGGGGGGGAGGGGGTGTTACCAACACTCCTGGAGGCGATTGTCAATGAACGTTCACCAGGACGCTACAGTTCTGACAATGTATTTTTGCACTGGGTTACGGAGCTGTAGTGAGAACGATGACGAATGAGAAAATTAAGGTAAAGACGACGAAATAAAAACGATGATGAGGATTTAAGTTGAAGACAGAGATTTACACACAGATGGCGATGACTGAAAGCTGTATTGGCAAAAGATAATCTTTCTCGGAGAACACATTTAAGATTACGGACTGCAACAGATGTGGTTTTCAGTCCTCTTAAGACTAAATTCTACTGAAACTCGAGAGGTGATTAAAAGTACTAAGATGCCTTCACTTGTATTGCAACATTTTTACCAATTCAAGTAGCAGTACAAACCTGATCTATGTACAAAAACAATGATTCTTCACCACCAAGCTTCCGCCATAGATTTTTTTTTTGTGGGGGGGGGTGGCTTAATTACCACAAAAACAACTTCCATAACGTAGGCACAGACTCTCCTCCCACGAACCCCGAGAGATTCAGACTCGTGAACCCGAAGCAGTAGACTGATACATAATTTTGTTCATAAATGTTTCGTTATTCATGAGTTTGAATCTTGGGGTTCGTGGTTCTGGGAGAGAGACGAACGGACTTTAATAGCTGCTGTACTTCGCTGCGAGTCTTGTCAATGTAAAAATTAAACTTGATAAAAGGTGAATTTTTCATGTTTTGAGGCGTCACTTTTAATCAACTCGGCAGACTCCAAAGAGTGGTTCAGGAGACACTGTTTCTTTGTGTTCTTTAGGATGGAATTTATATATTAATTAATCCTTTGTTACAGAACTCCCTCAGTGATCATTTTACTGAATATGAACTCTTGCTAGTAAGGTACGGTGGGGAGTAAGGTACACTATGGGGAAGGTACACAACCGGGTAGGGCACACTATGGGATACTTTTGGGGTAGGTTATACTGAGGGGTGGGGTACAGTAAGGGGGTAGGGTACAAAATAGAGTAGGCTACACTATGGAACAGGGTACACTGTGGGAAGGGTACACTATGGAGTAGGGTACACTATGGAGTAGGGTATACCAAGGGGAGGGTACACAAAGAGGTACAAGGCACACTACGGGGCAGAGTAATCAATGGAGCTAGTTATAACACGGAGTCAGACACTGTACACTAACTGATCCGGTACACTATGAAACAGGGTACATTACAAGCTTGGATACATAATCAAAACATAGTACGCAACAGGGGTAGGTACAGTACAGGGTAGGGTACACTATGGAGGCAGGTACACTCTACGAAAGGGTACACATGAGAGGAGTAACATATGTCCATAAACTAAAGAGAATGACGGGTGTACAATGTATAGTGAGGGACGGACCAACACACGTGGGTGAGGAGCACTACACACCACAACACTTTCTACAGACACTGGTACCTGTGCATCATCAGCCAGGCAGCAGCTGGACAGAGAAGAAAGTGCTCCTGTATAACCGTAATCTGTGTCCGAGCTCAGGTGGGCGGAGCTGTCGAGTGAGTGTGGTCATGTTGGTGCTCTGTGGGGGCAGGAGGTGGCAACACGGTGAAGCAGTTGGATACTTAACAGTATTCAGCTACACAAGTCAGTGGCGCTGCTCTGTAAGTATCACCAGTATTTGTGGCCCAGACAGCACACACACAATCCTCTAAACTGAATCTGGTAAACACGGCACCTTGGCAGAGAATACAACAAGATGTATAAGTTGTATACATATATGTGCTTGTTTCTAGAGGTTAACTTCCATAGCGTGATGACTGGTGATATTTAGAGAACAATCGCTGGTCTTTACAACACTAAACTCTCTATCAATAAGAGGAAACGTAGAGGTCCCTCTTGATTTATTATATATATATATATAAGAAAGGAGTTAGTGACTCAGCCACATGTGAGGTGGTGGTCCAGGGCCGATGACTACCACACCGACTGAAGTATCCAGTCTTGGGTTAGGTGTTTAGACAGTGCCAGAGGAGGGCCGGGAGAGCAACATGATGAAGTGAAGCCTGACCCTCTTGATCATCCCAGATAAGATGAGAGATATATAACGTGTTATGAGGAGTCACTGCAAGTTATGAGAATGATGAGTATTGTGTTCCGTGAGTGAGTGGTGATGACTGGGACCATGGGGACGAGAGGAGTGGTGATGACCGGGACCATGGGGACGAGAGGAGTGGTGCTGACTGGGACCACGAGGGCGAGGGAGGAGTCACCAGGAGTCACTCTGTATATAGCATCAAGACAACAACAGGCTATAGGGGGCAGCGAGGAGCTTCTGGGATACTTGCAAAGGGATTAAGATCAACACAAAACCGAAGTAAATATTACGAAAATGAGATGCACAAACAGAGAGGAACAAAAGGAAAGCGTAAACTGAGTGGAAGGTGAAGCTGTTCCCTCAACATAATGATGACAAGAGGTTTTGATACTTCCCCGACTCGTGTCTCGGATCCCACCTATGAGATCTTCTTGACGCACGACACAACCTGAGTGCATATAAAACCAACACAGACACACACACATGACTGGGACCTGAGGAGTGAAAATCTTAGGTCCACAGTCAACCCAGAGAGTCACTAATTGAGGAGATCAGAACCCCTGACCAGACAAGTTACTGTTGCTGTCTTTAGTGTCTATAATTATTATTTTTTTTTTAATATTGAACAACTGGTCTTTTGAAAATTTGCTCAACTTACTCGTAACTGTAAGAACCAAGCCAATGTTTTTAATATAGAAAAAAAAATCAGGAAGAGTCAGCTGTCTTGTGGCTGTGTTTGAAAGTCCATTCTGAGTTTTGAATACCAGTAAAATCACTGATCTTGAAGACATACGCCTTTAAAACCTATTTAGAGGAAATGAAAGCTGACAGAGTTCCGGATAATGGTCGATCACCAGAATTATTGCTGCCACATCTTGACTGGGGATATCACAGAGGTTATACAAACACCTTGCACCTGACTACTTAAATAGGAAAGACCTTTAACTTTAAAAAGAAGACTTATAAACGTGCCTTGTTCAGGTCCAGCACCAGGTACCAGTCACACAAATGTTACACTCACAAGGGAGGAAGAACGTTGATGACTGTACTCCCCTATATTGTACTCAAGAAGAATCCTATGATGAGTACTAAAATCTTATATGTAGATATTAATTACTTGTGACTCTGCCGACTGACCATTACCAAAAAAACATTATTTTCTTCCTCTAAATAAGCTCCAGACTAAAGTACTTCACTGAAATCCCCAAATTAACTGTTGTCTCAGATACTGGGCCGAGAAAACCGGCTTATAGTCACACTACCACTGCTGACTTACCCTCTGTTGCATCACACTCAGCAAAGGTTTATTGAAGCAGGACGCCAACTACACAGCCATCACCTATCTTGAAAGCACTGCTATGGTAGCTAAAGATAAAAACACACTTGAGTAAACTATCGAAAGACCAGTTATCATATGAAACGATTAAATTATGAGACTTAAGACAGGACCAGAACAAGAACTGGCGGTAAAAAAAGAGCTTAAAAGTTAAGTATAACCAGCTGTTGACACTGAGGGCCTTAAAGGGTACAAGTCCCTTCAGGTGATAAGTTGGTTGTTGGTCTGACCTCATTTTCTCAGACTATGACCAATTAAATGATGTAATGACAGGAGAAAGGAAACTACTCTCTTTAACTGCGGCGAAAACTGTCAATAAACACAGTCAATACTGGTATATATATACAAAAACAGATTAGTCAAAAGTAAACTAGACTCATCAATTTACTAAAACATCTGACAATCTTGTTTATGGTCGCTTACACCACCTTAATGTTCTCCGTGAAGTAAAAGTCATTTAACGATGGATGGATGACTCGGGCGGCAGAGGTATGGTGTAGGAGGCTTGTGTTGTGAGTCTCAAGAGAAAGCACACACCCTACACACTCCACAACATGCTCGCCACAATGTATACATGTATGTGTGTGTGTGTGTGTGTGTGTGTGTGTCCGAGGTTATCAAGAACCCGGGTGGTTGGATCACGTCATCACATTAAGAGAGTTATGTCAGCTACATAAAATAACTCACAAAACACCTTGACAACTCTAACCAATTATAACATTATTTGCGGTAATACAATGGATATAAACATTTCAGTAGTGACTAAGAGCTTCACTGATCCACACCAATTAGCTCTCGCTACATAACCAACTACCGCAAATTATAGATAAGGAATTATGTATCAGCAAGGATCAGATCCTTTCACAAAAGGATGTAGGAACTGAGACATTTTTGGACAGAACAGGAAATGTAAATAAAAAAAAACGTTAGCAAGATGTAACAAAAGTAGAAAAAGAGAGAAAAGAGAAGAGAAAGAGCAGAGAGTTAGAGAAGTGAAAAGTTAGAACAGAGAAGAAGAGTTTTAGTTCCACAGAGAATGTCAGACATCCCTCCTCTTCGCTCCTCCAGCCAGCCTGCTTCCATGGGTCGTCGTGGATGTGTAAGAATGGGTTTACCATAAAGAGAGAGAGAAAAAAAAGCAATTAATCAATAATTATACAAGAAAAAAATAGCATAGCAGAAGCTAGACTATAGCAGAAGTCAGGGAACGAGAGCCAGGCAGCAGGCAGAGTGTCAGTCATACAGGCCAGTGTGAGAATTATACTCAACTAAGTAAATAATAAAGAAGCGCTACTCGGTAACACAACCAAGGGAGGGAGGAGGTATTAG